CAAGCGCTATCGGTTAGCAAGTTGAGGGCGTTTCTATCATCAACCAATCACACGTATGCGTTTACAATTTCCAGTTTCTTATTGGCCAGTGATTCGATCATCATATTGTTGGTATCCGGATCGAGATTTTCTCGCATGGACGCACGGCTGCTAACGGTTAGCAGGATCCAGATCCTGCTAACCGTTAGCTGGCGTGTGAGAACATAGCCAAAATACATTTTGTATTTTAAGAGAGGAGTCTGCAAGTGTGAACAAAAATCGGTGCCCCAACTGCGTCTCGAACCCATGACTTTCTGCTGTCTATGCAGATGCTTACACAACTGGGACATTGAGGCTTGTTGGGAATCCAAATCCGATTAAATCATCTAAGTATTTACACTTCTGCACATGCACAGTTGGACAGCACTAGTCCTTGATGCGCGGGAAATGGCAGAGATCAACACGAATATGCACTCTTCTTATAAGCATTTGAATGACAAAGACAGGATACAGTATCTGAAGTTTTTTTTTATAAATAAGACCTACCTTTGAGTATGCATCAAATATATGGGACACTTTAACAGCTAAATATTCTAATAAGAATTTTAAAAAATGTTACACACACGACAAAATTCTGAATGTTTCACTGCTACAGTATTTATTTCCAAGTTTTTAGCACAATAGAGTCGGTACCCTGTTTTGAAATTTAATAGATACAATAGATAAAAACAAGTTCCTGAATTTAGTTTTTACAGTACTTAGCTTTTTAGGTATAAATATTAAACAAAATATAAGTTACCCAAACGAAAGTTCAAAAATAGATAAAAGCTATATTATTTTAACTCAGAAAAACCCTGTTGTTGAAAATTTACCCTGAAAAAAGAAAACAGTTTTTTGCACAATAGCAACTATGACCCTGGTTTTCAACCTTTTCCAGACTTGGGGCTATTTCTAAAGCTACGTTCACATCAAGCCAAGATTCCGGTCCGGAGTCCAGAGAAAAAAATCGTTAAAAATGGGTTAAGTGGTAAAGAATAGGACCGTTCACATCAAATTCGTACGATTTCCAATCCGGACCGATAAATATGAGAGCCATTTGTATCCTGAAATCATACGTTTTTTTTTCTTGGACCATTCAGCAACAAGCTTGGTTGGTTCGAACATTTTAATCATTAAAAAAAAAAAATTCTGATATCATGCGGTCCAATCTTCTGAAAACTCGGGGTCGTCCTTCTGGACCGTGTTTTCTGAGAGTTGAGAACCAGGACACTGTGATTATGTAGAGGCAATGTGATTGGTGCAGCAAATGGTTGAGGTCGGGATTTTGAGTTTCTTGTGCATTTCGCTTCTGTCTTTGAGCAAGGTACTTTATCTAGGCCTACATTGTTTTTCTCCACACAGGAGTATAAGTGGATAGGTTACGTCAAGGATCCAAAACTATGAGCCCATTCTAGCTCCTAGAATTGGGCTACCCAGGAAAATAAGAATGTGTTCCATAAGTTTTAAGGTTATTAACGTAAAGCATATAACAATAATATTAGAACATGCACACTGTCATAACCTCTATGCATTATATCACATTAGTACATTGGATAAAACAGCAATGACATACAGCTGCAATCAGTGCAGTGGTGTTTGAGGGGCATAGTTTATTGCAATAGCACACAATGTGGCTAAGAAAAACCAAACCCAGTCACTACTCGCAAATTGTGTTCCTGAGATAATGGCTGATGAACGCTATGTTACGGAGTCACTACGTCAAATCACTTTAATAGGCCTTGATAGTCAAGACAGTGTAACAATAAGTACTATTTAGCCACATTCTATGTAGGCCTACAGCATGGACTTCGAAAGTAGGTCTATAAAAAAAAACGGAGTAGGCCGAATATTAAATCTGGCACGTGTACATCATTAGATATCAAATTAATGGCAGCGCATATATATTCATAATACAGCTGCAGACATTGAAAGTAGGCACTTCAATGATAGATGTGAGTGGTCACTTGATAAACAAGTCTACAATTATGCCTCATAGAAAGGTTGGGAAATGCAGACATAGACATCTTTGCATCACCATTAAATGCAAAATGTCAACGATATGTTGCATGGCAAAGAAACCCACAAGCGGAATTTATAAATGCATTTTCAATAAAATGGTCTGATTAAAATGCATAGTATGTTTTTCCACCTTTCAGTTTAATCGCCAGGGTATTGCAGAAAATCAGGACAGAAGGGGCTTATGTGGTAATGATTTTCCCATTTTGGCCAACTCAGCCATGGTTCACCATGTTTATGGGGTAGTATCACAAGCCCCTGTGATACTACCCCAAATAGAATCACTATTGACACTGGAACACAGCAGAGGTACACTGCATCCTTTGAGGAAGAAAATTGTCCTGGTAGCCGAGAGATTATCGGGGAAATGTCCCAGAAGAGATTATCAGACAGAGCAACGACCTTGTTACTCAACTCATGGAAATCAGAAACTCATAAGCAATATTCGACCTATATTTAAAAAAATGGAGTTTTGTATACAACAGGCAGATCATTTTTCACCATCTATAGAGACTGTTATAGAATTCATGAATATGGACTTCATTTGGACCAAGGTTTGGGGTATACTGTAGTTCCATTAACACAGCCAAAAGTGCCCTGTCACAATTTATTGTGTGGAAGGGCAAGCATACAATAGGATCCCATCCTTGGGTAATACGGTTTAAATTGAAGGGCATATATAACAGGAAACCACCAGCCCCTCGATATACACACACCTGGAATGTCTCTATTCTACTGAAATATATTCGGTCACTTAATCCAAATGGAAGTTTACAACTGAAGTCATTGACATTAAAGGTTGTAGCTCTAATGGCTATATTAACTGCTGTTGTTTAACGTTGCATAATATGACTTAAACATCGTCTCTGTTCCTTTTTATTGTAGGTAGAGCTGACCTAAAGCAGAGTCGACCCGGTTACATACGGCCAACAATAATTCTGAAAGAGTATTCGGTAGATAAAGGATTGTGTATTTACTGTATGCAGCGTTGCAAGAATATTTGCAACGTACACAGCCATTAAGGCAGGATGAATCTTAGATTGTTCATCATAAAGCCTCATAGAAACGTAAAATGCATCTACGATAAGTAGATGGGTGAAAACAATAATGGCCCAAGCAGGTATAGATATTTCAGTTTATAAGCCTCACAGTGTAAGATCTGCTGCGACATCGCATGCCTTAAAAGCAGGGGTATTCATTCGACAGATTATTGACATTGTTGAATGGAGCAATGAGACCACGTTTGCAAAATTTTATAATAGAGAAGTGGAGGAAAAAATCTATCGTTAGCAGAGGGAATTTTGGATAAGTATTAAATAGGTAAAGTACAGAAGTGTGAGACATTTACATGGGATATGATCGCGCATGCGTAACCAGACTTTAACTAATTATGACTCAGTTCCAGAAAAAAACAAAATAACAAATACTGTATGCCAACTACAGTAGAACCCCCAATAAGGGCGGGAAGGAAAGGCATGTAATTCCTATATCAAGCACCGGAGGACAGTGTAGAATCACAACCAAGCTTCAACTTATCGGTAAGTGTCGTTTAATTGACTAATTATTTCCCCCATTTTTGATGTTAAAACAACGTTTTCTTTTTTTTTTATGAATTGGTGATGGCCTAAGAAATGTCTGTAATCATACTTTGAAGGCTGATTTCTCAAATACTGTTCTTTAAACAGCTATATGTTTTAAACTCCTGTATTAACTTCATAACAAAACATCAGATTTAATTGATTCTTTTAACATTTTATAACTTAAATTTTTTTTCTTTCGAGGAGTTACTGGTTTGAGCTTGTCGTTGCCACATATAAAAAGTGCATTCGTCCAGTTTGCCAGGTTAACGAGTCATATTCATCCATCTGCGTTTTTGTTTCAGATCCTTTATGGCGACATGTGCAGCATTTCTTCCCGGTGCTCCCATTACACCTCCACCTAAAGCAGATACAAAATGAATCAATTTTAAGCATTGGAAAAACCTTAAAAAATAAATTGTTCAACTAGTCAATTAATCGGAAAATACACCAGGAGACAATCCCCTACTATTTTCCAAAGAGTGTAATGGTATACAAATAATGAATGTTTATGAGTGCAATGGGATGAAAATTCATATTTTCATGAGTTGAATGGAACAGTCAATCTTTCAACGAATGAAAACATTCTTTCTATTGTACGAATACAAAACATTCATTATTTGTTTTATAACACACGTGATTGGTTCAGCCTGGGCATAGCTAGCCTAGCCTGGCCTAGGCCCTAGGCATCCTTCGTGCAAAACCTTGGGCGAGGCTAGAAATCCGTCAGCACATTTTGAACATAAGAGCTGGTTTTTGAGGTATCATCCACGCAATTAAAATACTTTACAGCTGTTTACAGTAAACAAAATCTCTGATATATTACACACCGCTAAGACAAGTTCAGCAAGAAGTAGGCCTGAGAAAGTTAATAGGTGGCGTGACATCATTTCATGGATTCAACCTTCTGGAAAATGCACAATGGAACAAAATTTCAACAATCATCAATGAAATGGGGAAAATAACTAATGTCACGTGGTATGAAATCAACCAATCAAATGACTGGGATCTATTTAGGTGTGTTATAATAATGGATGTCGACTTTAGTGCATAGTTCTGTATAAGCTTTCAACTAAGTTCAATAGAAGTTGAATAAAAGAAACAAATAAGATGAAGAAGAGACAAAGAAAAAAAGCACAACAAACACCATCAACAAAAAAGAAAAACTTTTTTTTTTAACATGCACATGAGCTATTTTGCACACAGGACCAAGAGCTTAACATTTTATAACATGTATATTAGCCCTCCAGCTGAAACACAATGGAACATATACAGTAGTACACTATAGAAAGTTGTAATTCAATCCTGTGCCTGAACACGGAACAATGTGCAGGCAGTGTATGGGCGATTCCATTATTTTCTTTTATCCCTGAAGGGAAAAATTGAATTTCAGGGAACTTGACCTTTGATATTTTCTTCCCGAAAGTTAATCATCTCTTAATATTTAGATTATTATGTACCATTCCAGTAAATTTTATGATGATCCATTCCCTAGTTTCTGCGTAATTTGCTGACAATTGGATGAATACATAACTTCCTTGGAAGAGGTAATTATTATTCAAGACTATCTTACCTGGATGTGCACCACTACCACAGAGGTAGAGACCTCTCAGAGGCGACCTGTAACCGGTCATTGAAGACACAGGCCTGGCAAAGTACAACTGGTCCAAAGACATCGCACCATGGAAGATATTCTAGAGGGCGACAATTCAAAATAAAGTTGTCAGTTTTGATATCTAATTTTAGAATGACTTTATAAATCATTTTATTAAAGTGGGCAATATAATACCATCACTCTTAAATTTGCTGTCAAACAACTTGAAGTTTTGTAGTTAAAAGTCTGTAAATCTTTGGAAACCATTTATATTACATTTCTGTTTTATTGAAAGTTGACCAATTATATTACCAGTTTTAACTAACTAACCAAGAATTCTTTATATAAAATGCAATACTCTGTGTGCGTACTACTGTATCCTCTAACATGAAACATCTTAATAGGCTTTGGCTGTCCAAAGTGTGGCGCCAGTGGGGGAGAAGGGAAGGTGGAGTGGACAAGCCCCCCACCCTTCCGGATCACTCCCAAGAGAAGTCGAGTGACGCTCGACCATGTTTACTTAGCCTCTTGTTGGGCAGTCAGCCCCTTGCCCCCATCTGGGACATCAGACCCCTGGTTGGGCAAATCCTGGGGCCATCCTTGATTTAACAAAAGACATACTGTATATTTTTTGTTTCCACAAACAATAAACAAATATTTTCTGTGGTATAACAGCAAACATAGTAACATTTATAGTATTACACTAGTGCATTTACCCCTCCTGTTAGTCCAAATATCCGTTCTAGTTCAGGTGGGGGAAGCATGTCTACACCAATCACACTGTCTTTAAAGCCTGGGGCATAATCCTCAATGTTGTTGAACACTGAAATAATAAATGAGTCAACATTACTTATCATTATGATGACACCTGCTGTAAAATAATGTTGTTGCTTGGTGGTGAGATATTTACCTCGCAATTTCACATCATTGACTAACCCTACACACTCCAAGATTGATGCGTTTCCAGCAACTAAATGCAGTTTCACTCTGACAACTTGAGACTTATTTTTGTGATGAATCAAACAGGCACAATGTATCCATAATATGTGGATACTGGCGCTGCACTGTGTCTGCCTTCTATGTATCTACATTCTCTCCAGCACTTAGACAGCCAATTCATAGTAATTCATTTTACTTGTTGGCAATCCTGTTCACCAATGGATTTATTCTCTATGTAAGTACTGTATTCTAATGTAATAGGTTTCATTATGCTGTATCACGTAAAGACTAAAGAAAGTAAATTAGTTAATAAATAAATATATAAAATGAAATAATGAGTGGCTAATCACATTCACTTGGAAGCATAAAATGAAATCATGAGTGGCTAATCACATTCTCTTGGAAGGCATAAATAAGTAAAATTTAGTATATTATTTTATTTTTAAATATTACCAATATCTCTGTACTTTGACATCATCTCCTCATCCCAAGTTCTTCCATCTTTAAAGCTATATGGTGTGTACTGTGTAAACAATGAGATGACATGACTACCCTCAGGTGAAATGGTTGGGTCCAATGCTGATGGTATACACATTTCAATCATTGGTCTAAATTTTATATAAATCAAAAAATAATAATTGGGAGATTAGCCAATCTATCATTAATTAGAAAAAAAAAATTATAGTGACCAATCGAAAAGCGACTAAAAACTATTAAAGTGCTGATTATTTCAATGAAAAAGGACATGGGGAAATAATTGTTTTCAAATAAAGGTACTACTAATCAGTTTTATGAATTAGTCGAGCAGAAGGAAAGAGTGAAGAGGCCACTTTAGAGAGTTGATTATAAATGCATCATTAACTTCATTTTTAGGTGCACTTTTGATGATGGATAGAGATATCAAGGTCATGAACTCACATTAGTGTAAATCACATTTATGACTAGTTAGAGGCTACGGTCACACTAGAGTTTCAAGCCTGGCTTGACTCACCGCGGGTGAGATTTTCATAATGTGACCGCATCTGCACCGACTCGCGCCTGGCGTGACCTCGATCTCAATCTACCTATCTCGATCCCGGCTCAGCACCCATATTGACCCTGGATTGACACTGACGTGACCGAGATTGACATTTCCTCGTCGGTTATCCACCAATCACAGTCGATCACGCCGTTGCATTTAGAAGTTCTTGAATAAAAACCCACGAGTTCTTCATGTGTGTTCAATCAAGACGCAATCATTACTTTTCATAAAAGTTAATTAATTCAAATTTTAATTAACAATAATGCGATTGATTTGGAGCGACCAGGAAACTGCTGACCTGGTAGATTTGTGGGGCCAACCCGAGCTGAGAGACCGGATAGAAAATAAAAAAACAAACAACAAAACGGGAATTTTGCTGACAGATTAGCCAGTCTCGGACATGAGAAGAGAATGAAGGCCCAAATTCAAACAAAAGTGAAGGCATTGCGAGCCCAATACAAGCTGATAAAAGATCAGTTGAAGAAGAGTGGTTCGGGCACGTCTGGTGTAAAATCTTTGATTGCGATCCACCCAAATCACACGCACGTATATCGAATCCCGTGAAACAGAGTTGGCCAAACTCTCTCTCTACGGCTCTGCTGTTTCGACTTTCATAATTTGGAGGTCAATCCAACTAGTGTGACCGACCCAGAATTTCGAGCCTGGCTTGAAATCTCACCCGCGGTGAGTCAAACCAGGCTTGAGACGCTAGTGTGACCGTAGCCACAGAAGGACAAAATGAACTCTGTGATGTACGGTTTGGGAGTAGATTGAAAATACAATAGAATCCTTATTAAGGGAGCACTTTCAGGAACAAAAAGGAGGTTAAAAGATATACTTTCCCTTGTTTTGTAGCCGAAAAAGTGTCCCCTTAATAGGAGGGGGTTCTACTGTATACCCAGCATCATCATTTGTAAATTCAGATTTAACATTTTGATGCTGCATTTTAAGATTTATATTTTTTTTTTTTAAATTGCAAACATAGGTACCAAATATATGCACACTGAACTGCATGAAAGTTATTCAACAAATGTAACAAAATTTAAACTTGAAGAAACACATACTTTTCGTGGAGCTGACCCTCCATTGCTACCTTGTACGCATCTTCTATCATGTGACATGACTCTGAGTTTAGGTGGATGGTGCATCCGTGATGTGGGCCGGGTATGTTCTTAGGTGTTGGCCTTGCAAGAAAATCAGGCACACGATCAACGGCCACTGAATGTTAGAGATGCAGTAATACGGAAATATTAAATGTAACTATAAACGATAATAACAAGCTTTAGTATAGTAGGAGCAGTATAGTATAGTGCCGTGTGGGGTTGTATGTTGTCTCACAAGAGTGGATAAAAGTCAAATTATATTTAGTAGATTTTATGCAGGTTCTTGTTATCCTTTATTCAAATCACCATCAATCGTGTACGGTACATAATTAATAAGTATATGTTAAATCACTTCTACATATTTTCAGTCTGTCTTATTGATCTACAGTAATACTTTTCTGTAAAATTCTCTTAAAAGAGAATTTTGTTCTAATTCTTCTCTGTTCTAAGCACTTTTCTTAATCACTCACTCTAAGTAATTTCATCCTCTTTACATGTGGGACCAAATAGGAGGAGCTACTGTATTTCATTTCCAAGAAGATGGTCAAAGACAAATTGACTCATCAACTACCTATTTGAGACCTTAAGTTAGTTAGTAGTTGACCAAAAGGTAGGGCTGTAATATACCTGTTGGTATCAATGTGGCTTTCCATGGAATTTATACATGACAATAACATGATTTTTTACATAGTAATATATGTAGCGTGTAATAACACTATATTATTGTATCGCTACTTAAATCAAAGCTTACTCACCATTGATCTTTGTCACTGGTGAAGTATAGTCGATTTTTGCAACTTCTTCAGTAAATTCAGCCGGGAGGGAATTTTCAGGGACAAGTTGTTGGTATGTTACATGAGGCGTAGCATTCGAGAGAACAATTTTACCGTCAATCTCTGTGCCATCCTCAAGGACAACACCGCAGGCTTTGTTGTTAGCATCTAGTATCACTGAGGATACAGGCTATGAAAAGAAATTTGAGGATCAAAAAATCTTGAAGTTAAAAAATCAGAATATTATATTAATTTTAAAATAATAAAAATGAGGACAATTTAAAGATTAAGCGCACCGGTTGAGGCTCGGACTCTCAACCTTACGGTCAGGTTTGGAGCCCGCCCTCGCTATGCAAGTAGCTTGTATCCTTGGGCAAGACACTTTGTTTGCATTTGTCTCTCTCTACACTGGAGTATAAATAGCTGCGGTACCATATGCTGAGAAAGTAAACAGACTCACAGAGGTGATCCCCTCAAAGCATTGCACAGTCTGGAACTAACACTTAAGGAGGAGGAATGGGCACTCAGGACCTCTACAGTTTGACCTACCTTTACCCATACAACATTAAACCAAAAAATGTTAAATTTATATGATAGATATGAAATTGTGTAGCATTGTAGGAACAACCTCCAGTATACTAAGTATTTGGCCACTGTACGTAAAGAGTTTTCTGAGCCATTTTTTAGATTGCTTTGTTACGTACTGTACATCACTACATGAAAAAATGTGCTCACAAATCTGCATGTAACAATTGAGAGCATGTGTCATTGTTATTTCATTTTGTATTTTATTCTACAGTATATGAATGGATGCTAATTAAAATAAAGTAAATAAAGTGAAGTAAAGGAATATTAGATATTAATACAGCGATGTTTTTGTAGTACACTTTATGAAAGCTACATCAATAAGTAAAATGTGTGATATACAATATACTAATAGATGAACCAATATGATATCAAATAGCAATGGAAAATCATTAGGAGACATACATTAATACATTAAGAGAAAAGTGAATCAAATGTTTTAATGAGTGTTAGTAGATGTTGTCATAAATTAGTACTGTTTACTCTACCTTCTCTGTTAAAATGGTAGCACCATGTTCTTTAGCCGATTTAGCAATGCACTCAGAAAGAGCACCATTACCCCCTTCAACATACCCCCATGCACCTATGTTACCCTCTAATTCACCCATAACATGATGAAGTAAGACATACCTACAAGAAAAATTATCATATAGACAAAAAAAATAAATATGAGGTGTCAGTTTGATGCTGTACATAATTTTAAGGGGTCCAAGGTGGAAGATACCTCCTAGAGATCTGGTTTAATGAGCCTAAACATACTGTCGTAGAATCTAGGAAAAACTTTAAAACAATGATTAATACATTAAGTAGGCATTTAAAAAGTTGAAATAATTAACTTCCAAAGCCCAATAAGTTGTACAAGTCAGAATTTTACTCATTAAACTCATTAAATTTAGGACATTTCCATCAATCAATCAATCATCGTTCAATTTATATGGCGCCATTCCAACAATCGTTGCTTGTGGTGCCTTTCCAAAAAAAAGGACCGTATTAAAAAAGGTGCATCATTTTTCCATCTCAACTAGAAACCTTTTTCAACTGTGTCGATCGCATGCATGATTTATTTACATATAGTATCAACCGAGTAAAATTTTCTTCTAATATGTTTTTTTTCTTTACCTCTTTAGTTAATGCAATGTGAACACAGATATAAATGAAGAAATTGTTAGTTAAATTTCTCAAAACAAAACAAAAAATATGAAACTAATTATCATGAATGAGTCATTTGTACATGTCAGCCTTTAAAATTGTTATTACAATGACAGTTGGTTAAAATGATTAAAACTGTAACAATACCAGGTGTTATAAAATGGTCTACAAATGATAGAATGTCAAGCCTGAAAAAGCTTGTGAAAGAGTAAATAAAAGTTCAAGATAAAATTGAATGGGGAATGAGGATGTTCATTGATTAAACATACCCACTGCCTGGTGTACTTGGACTCATCATGGCACCAATCACTGCATCCGTAGCTAATGTGGCTTTCAGTGGTTCAGACTCAAACCACTTTTCAAGGACCTATGGATATAACAAAAAGTTTCCATACATCTATAAATTTATTTTATAATATTCAATTTTGTTAATAGAGGGTTTACCCTTTCAGCTAGGCTCATATTACTGGGCCCTCTACAACATCAAAATTGAAAAAAATTACAGCAGACAAAAAGGTAAATGATATATGCATCACTGTATAGTATTTCTCCTTTATATTCCTAAATGCCTTTACATCTCATATTAACACTCTGCCTGCCAAAAACGGAGATCTCCGTGTTTGGTAATGCAACACTTGACTGCCAAATGCAGAGATCTCTATGTTTCAGGTTTTTTTACGAAATACGATAGATATGGGGTAATTACCGACATGTACAGTACTAACAATTTGAACACTACATTCAGTCTGAACCGTAAGTATTTACTATTTGTTTGTTTACATTAGCGTAGATCGGTATTGATTTACTTTCTAGAAATCGTGATTATCTCAGCTTTGTTGTGCGAATTTGCGTAAATCTCCCAAAGTGAGTCATTTTCATTTTACTGTTATGGGTCTCAGACTGTAATTAGAATAAAGTGTTTGGTACCATTGTAAAGCTAAAATGTTTGTAGTTCTTGTAGCATTCACTACATGTCAATCTGATCACATACAAACTCTCAACAAGCTTCGGAAAAGTGTTAAAATTTGCTAAAAAGTCTGGCGGTGACTGATAATATTTTAAAATCCCCTGGCGGTCAGAGTGTTAACCAATCGAATATACAAACAAAATAAGTTTAAAACTGTTTAAAAAAGACATTTCTATGATGAAATGTATAAAAGAACTACTAACTGTTAGTTATCAACTTCCAATATAAAAGAATAAAATAAATAACGTTTTACAGTTTTCCTGAATTTGTATTTAAAAATTCCTTAGTCAACACTTTATATAACATAATGTCTCATTAGCTATGAGGTAGTAGAGCCTCCATGTTGTAAAATGGAGGGTAGACACAAGAGTAATAGAAACTAACAGAGAATAATCTCACCTTGATAGCTGGTGCTGTAAGCAACTCATAGAAAGCTGGAAGATCAGATCCAATCCCTTGTCCTTCATAAAAACAACACAATATAAAATCAATTTTTGTGTTAGGTTCACTAAAATACTGAGCAAAAGAGTCTGAAATCATCTTAGCACTGGATTAATTTTGACCAAGATGAATACTAACAATTTTTTGGTTAAACCATACCAATGAACTTAAAGACTACCAAATTTTACCAACTTGAATTAAGACTATCAAATTTTATTTGACAAAAACATGTGACATGCCTAAATATGGTCATGATGAAATCACATTATGACCATAATAATATACAGTATAGGCACATCATGACTAAGGTAAGAGTTTTTTGTCAAAGAAAAATTTGATAATCTAAAATAGGGTTTAAGAGTGTACTGTAGGTGCTTACTGAGCTCTGTGGCTTAACGACAGACAGTAGGAATTTGCGCATACACATAACCTAATGAAGTACAGCATGTGAGAATAATTAAAAGAGTTGTGCCGTTCATAATAAACTTTTCTCAGACGAGACACGCAGCCTGGGCAACTCATCTTCTTCCGTTAAGTTGCCACCTTCATCTTGTTGAAGACTGCAACTGTCTGGTAGTGATTGGATAGTACACCGGTGCAGACAATCCCCTACTTATTTGCAAAGAGTGTACTGCATTCTTAAACATGCACTTGTCCATATTGCAGATGGACCATCGGCTTACACGTCTCAACCGAAAGACGGTGAGCTACTTTAATATCCATATTTTTATTATTATATAATCTTTGCACATGTTATTGTTTGTTTCTATTGGGAATTGATTGATGAATAAACAATTTGATTTGATTTGATATTGAAACCTATTCAGCCCTCCAGCTGAAACACAAGAAGAGCAGCAATATGCTAGCCCTCCAGCTGAAACACAAGAGCAGCGATGTGAACTGAACCGGGGACAAAACAATCTCCACGGATAAGCACACAAACAGTGCTACCACCAATTTAGCCAACTGAGCAATGCTGCTCTCATAACTCAGTTAAGCTTGTAGATAGTGTGCCTTCCTTGACCAAAGAGAATGTTAAGCCATGCACTCACAGCTTCATACGAACGTTGTATGACCATCGCACAACCAATCCTAATTCACTCCTTGTGAGATCTCCACGACGCAACGCCGTCTACTCATTGCTGGCGGTAGTCTGAACGGATAGTTATTAAAAGCGATCCGTTGCGCTAGTGTCATTGCGTTCCTCATAGAATCGCGTCAGCCAACGGCTATCCGGCGCAGTGAGTGCTCAGCTTAAGGCAGTCATTTTGTTTTAGTTGAAGTGAAGTTGATTGGCCGAGCGGTTAAGTCAGGGGCACCACAACCTTCACCTCTAATATCGGCGCTGGTTCAAACGGCTCACTCGCCAATGGTTCCAGTGGTGGAACAAGTCTCCTCGGATAAGGACTTTAAACCGTAGGCCCAGTGTACGCATTTGGCTCGAGTGCACTTTAAAGAACCCAGTACATCCTTTGAGAAGAGTAGGGGGTTACCCCGGTGTACTGGTCTATTAAGTCCCCTGTTGTTAAATGGATATGCCACGTAGGACAGTGATTAAGTTCACTTATTGGCATATCCTTGGCGCTCGTGCCTAAAGGAATGAAATGAAAAAACAAAAAAAACCCCAATGCGTACACAACTTAAATAATTTTTATGTCAACAGTTCAATACCTTACAGTAGGACAGCAGTGTGAACAGCTTAGCTCATTCAGTCAGCTAAACTAGTGGTAGCCATATGCTCTGAACTGTGGAGATATCTATGTCCCCGGTTCAACTCCCAAAGCTGCTCTCCTTGTGTTTCAGCTGGAGAGCTGAAATGCAAGTTATGGTAGCACACCGTTTTTCGGATGAGACGTTTAAGCCGCTGGTTCGTGCGCATTATGGCAGGTGTGCACATTAAAGAACGCACACTCTTTGGAAAAGAGTGTGGGATTATTGTCTCCCGTCCACCAGAAGGACCCCACTGAAAATAAGTTTTCTTCAGACTTTCGTGTGTTATCCTTGGGTGTTTACACCAAAAAAAATCATCCATCCAATCACCCAATATGGCAACACATATTTGTTGGAAATAAGTAATAATTACCTGTGCTGAATAAGGCCTTAAGCGAAGGCATTGTCTCTATTTTCTGTGATAGTGAACCGGTCAAGCTTGAAAGATTGACAGGAGCATTGTCCAGCAGTGGTCCAAGTGCTTTAGCCATGTTGAAAAGCTGATGCTCATAAATGGAAAAATTCTATAAGACAAAATAATAATCATTAGGTTATTCCATGCCAATAAGCCAATTCGTCTGCAGGGGGGTATCTAAGAGTCTTGAAGTGGGGAGCTGATGAGGGTTGGTGACGTGAAGGTGAAGTGGGGGGGGGGCTCAATGATCAGCTGAGGGAGACTAACTTGCAAAATAAGGTGATTTTAGGGGATTTTTTAACTTCTTGACAGTGATTTTTTGGGGAGCGACTGGGGCGCAAGTAATTTTTTGAGAAGTGTCCTTCCCCGCGCAACCCTTAGATACGCCACAGCAATTCGTAGATAGAAATACGTATGATCGTATCAAGTTCAATTAACATAAACACCATACACACAACATACAGTAGGTTTAAGTCAATTGACCTCGATTGACCTTTGATACAATTATGTGCAGTTCTAACTATGGATTAGCTACTTCAATGAACAATTACGCAATAATTGGATCTCATGAGTAACGGCTAGAAATACAAACAAAACATTTGCTCTCCACCTCTAATTCTTGAGATTTACAAAATAAAAATCATCACAAATTAAAACTCATATCTCGTAAAGTATAACAACACCTACAGAGCTGGTTCAAGTATAGACCCCATGATTGTGTTTGTAGACTTTTTCACAGACCAATATTGCATGGCCGAGCCAAGCCTTATTCAGAGTTGACTAACAAATCTTGGTTAAAGTCAGGCTCCGGAGGAAAAAAAAATTTTGATATGTTGTAGAACTGATTTTTCTAAGACAGAAAAAAGTTGTTTGACGAAAAACTGGGGAACGGTGAATGAGATACAGATTTTTGAATATTTAAAAACTGGGGGAATAAGGTGTAAAAATGAGCAGTTACGCCCCTTTTTCCCCCAGTTTTTAAATATTCAAAAATCTGTATCTCATTCACCGTTCCCCAGTTTTTCGTCAAACAACTTTTTTCTGTCTTAGAAAAATCAGTTCTACAACATATCAACAATTTTTTTTCCTCCGGAGCCTGACTTTAAGGCAACCATAGGATATGTGGAGATTTGAAGAAAGAAATGTTTGAATTGCAATATCAGGGAGTTCATCCCTCTCCCCATCGGACAGTCCTTGACCCCAACATGATAACAAGGTTGTCGGGCCAAAAGTAATAATGTTATTTTGATAGCCAATCAATAATATCGTGGTATAAAAGAAAAAAATTAGGTCATACTATTCCAACAACTCTCCCTGTTAGCCCTACCAGGGATTTTTATTCCAGGACCCTGACCGATGCTCTAGCTGGCCCCTTGGTTCAGACCTCCTTCAGGATATGCCCGAGCCCCTGCCGGCAAACTACTGGAGCCACCACTCATCACTTTCATCAATTTATGTACGTTACTACACAAAACTACTCAAATAACAAATTTAAGGTAATGTACTTTCTCAAACCTTAGCATCTTTCTCCGAAAATTGTGCAATTTGTTTGTAGTTCTCTTCCTCATACGAGCTCAAAAGTAATGACCTTGGATGACCTCCGATCACAGGCTCTTCTAGGATAGGTGTAAATGCATTATATACCCGATAGTGAATTTTCAATCCATGTCTCTGACGGTGGAAACCAACAGTTTAATATCATTTGATGACCTACAGTATACTAGTATCTGATTTAAAATTATATAATATACCCACAATACACATGTTGCTAGAAATTATTAGATATCAAAATAAAAATATCAATATGTTATTAACAAAAAAGTTGTTATAATATATAAGACTTTTGGTAGAACTTTAAGAAAATAGATATCAAAATTTAGATATCAACATTGTTTTTTAATAATTTAAAACGTATAATTTGATTTTCAAAAATTTAAATTTAATATAATGCACAGTAATTAAAATATGATATAAATATTTTTAAAAAAATTAATTACATAGTAATTAATGAATGGTTAACATATTGGAATGGCATATATACTCAAGAGAACTGGTTTATGGGTTATGGTGTATCAATACATACTGGTAGCTGTATTTTGTATATATAATATTTTTGAAAAATTAAAATGTTTTGTCCAACTGCTTTCTCCAGTTGTCCTCAAAATAAACAATTTCATTTTGAGTTTGACACTAACCTTCAATTCCAAGTCTTCATATATATCTGGTCTCAGTAGACTAAGCACGTATGAGCATCGTGAAAATTTAAATCCTTTTAAATAAATAAAACCAAACCAGTTTTTAGATACCTAATCTATTTTTATTGACTCTACAGTACATTTTTGCACTCCTGCTGGGTCAAACAGCAAATTTGTTGATACTGTATATTTTTTGTTGAATTTATTTACTCTTTTCATGAGGACTCAAAATATCAACATTGTTGTAAAAGTCTATAGCCTGGAAAGCTAACCATTTAGCACCTGGGTGAGAACGCCCGATCGGTTAGCGCTAACCGTTAGCGGTATCCGGATACCGCAAATGGTTAGCAAGCGCTATCGGTTAGCAAGTGAGTGCGTTTCTATCATCAAACAATCACACGTACGTGTTTACAATTTCCAGTTTCTTATTGCCCAATGATTCAATCATCATATTCTTGGTATCCGGATCGGGATTTTCTCGTATGGACGCAAGGCAGCTAACGCTAACCGTTAGCTGACGTGTGAGAACATGGCCTATATATCACTAGTTATTAGGCTTAAGACAAGACTTTTTATTCCTTGTTCCGCGAAACTTATTTTCTTAAAGATCGTCATATATGTAGGAAGGGGAAAAAGAGTATAAAAATATAATTTTGTTTTCTTAATTAGCAAATGGTTTTGCCAAAACCTTCTAGATGGAGGAGAAAATAAAAAAAAGAATGTTATTGTTGAATGTATTAAAACTGTATAGTGTGGGATGGTCAAATGCCTTAAATTTATATAATTGGGAAGAAATATACTGTACATCTATTTTTGGAGGTTTTAAGGCAGCGGTGGACGTAATAAAAATAAAGAAACATTTTTTTCTAAAATTTCCATTTTTCCGTGACGGAGGGTGCGCTAAATGGCCAATAATAAAATAGTATTTTTATTCAAAACATCATTATTGGCGGGCGGCAGGTTTGCTAAACAAGGTATAAAAAAAAGTCTCGCTTTGAGCTTTAATGAGAAAAGAAATACTAAGATATGGAACCAGAACTTAATATCAACAGAACTACAGTAAAGCATTAGGACTAAGTGAGTATGATGAGTATGAACCAATTGCACACCCAACCCCACCCCTTGAAAAGGCCTACAATGCAATGATGCACAGTCTAGACTCTATAATTCGTCCAGATTGGCTGTAAACCTATCTTGTATAAGACTCACAGATTCAGAAAGCATTCAGAGACTTTTTAATGTATATATCATGACGGCAGCAGATACCAGCATTTTGTGTCATTAAGCAATTTACGCAAGAGGAATGGGACAACGGAATGTGGGCAATTCGGGTTAAGCACCCAAGCGTTTTCTGTTGTCTTCACATTCGGATGAGCACAGAACCACTATCCACCTGTCTTTCAGTCCTGTTTTGTAATGTGGCCAGTGTGTGAAAAATGGACATTTAAGTTCCCTCCAACCCTCTCCCGCTCCCCCACTACCACCTTTTTATTCTTGCTGAGGTCCCACAAAACAACAATTTTTGTCCCACAAACACATACGTTTGTGGGACAACGCGTGTCCTTGTTAGTGCGTATTCCCTTGTTCTGATTGGTCAGCTGTGAAATTTGATTGACATTCCGGAATTTGTCCAATATGTCGAGGGGCATTAGAATATTGATGATTTCCATTGTAATTGTATTAGAAATATATTCTCAATTTTAGCTTTTTATTGGAATTTTTAAATTCATATGCACTTTGGTGACATCCAATCCTAATATTATATGGAGGTATACTAATATTAAATTGAGTATAAACATTCTTCTTAGTAATGATCAGTGCTCGGCCTTTATATATTATAAGCCTCTGTATTTAGGTGAGTTGAATGGCCGAGCGGTTAAGGCAGGGGGCGCCGCAACTTACAGCAATAATTTATCGGCGTTGTTGCTCGGCCTTTATATATTATAAGCCTCTGTATTTAGGTGAGTTGAATGGCCGAGCGGTTAAGGCAGGGGGGGCGCCGCAACCTACAGCCATAATTTATCGGCGCTGTTGCTCGGCCTTTATATATTATAAGCCTCTGTATTTAGGTGAGTTGAATGGCCGAGCGGTTAAGGCAGGGGGCGCCGCAACCTACAGCCATAATTTATCGGCGCTGTTGCTCGGCCTTTATATATTATAAGCCTCTGTATTTAGGTGAGTTAAATGGCCGAGCGGTTAAGGCAGGGGGCGCCGCAACCTACAGCCATAATTTAACGGCGTTGTTTGAACGGAACGCTCGCCTATGGTTCTGAAGTTGGAACAAATCTTCTCGGATAAGGACTACAAACTGTAGGCGCAGAGTACACAACTGGCTCATGTGCACTTTAAAGGACCGAGTACATCTTTACAAGATGAAGGGTTTAAACCGGTGTAATGGCCCATACAGCCCCTGTTGTCTTGTGATGGAATTGCCACTTTGAAGGGTGATTAGGTTCAATGTTTGCCATATCCTTGGCCCTAGTGCCTCAAGCTGAATAAATAAAAAAAATTAAAAATATATAGATACGTGCTTTAGACTATTATCAATGCAACCAAATATATTACCGGGAATTAGCTCCTCCGTGACGGCAGCTCCACCAATTACATGTCTTCGCTCAAGTACTACAGTATTTAAGCCAGCCTTTTGCAAATATGCTGCCTGTCAAGAAAAAATAATATTTGGAATCACTAAAATATCATCATGTCATACAGGAAATGTGGTACCATGGATAAAAAAGTTTCTTTTCTCTGACAGTTAAGACATTCTATGTCAAGTATCGTCAATGATGAGGAGTAAAGAAAGTCCGTTTTATTACTCATGTCATAGAAAAATATGGTATAAATTGTCAGGGATAATTTTTTTCCCAACAAATTTTTTTCCAAGAAAGTTATTAGTATTCCGTTGAAACTAAACTGCCCAACATTGGAAAATGAGAGAGCCCACTGAATCCATATATATACAATATATATATATACTGTATTGAAGCTGGCCAATTTAACAATGATTGAAAAATTAAAATTAAAAAATTAAAAAATAAAAAAACTTGTAAAAATATTTTATATTTAGGGTTAAGTTTCTGAACTGGTATTAAACTTTTATTGTATTAAAAAATAAAATTATGCTAATTTTACAAAACCTAAAATTACTATACTGTCAAGTAAATGCATTTCGTGGAATCGGAAAAGAACAAAAGCACCATTTAATTGCCATCACATGATTTCGCCTACTACAATAATAATTTATTTTCTAAAGTGGTTGGTGTCAGTGTTGATGATAGCGGGGGAGGTGGGGGAGGGGTATTTTCCTCCTTGTCGGACAGGTCTGGACACCCTGCAGTCCGACACCATGACGAGGTCCTCAGATCAAAAAATTTAAAAAAAATAATAATTTGTCTATTCGTTGTTTTGATTGCCAATCCCTAATTGTGGTATAATAAGCAAATTGACCACACTAAGCCATAAAAACTCTCCCTGTGAACACTACAAAATACAAGGGATTTTTTATTTCGGGATCCCGACCAAGGTTCTGGTCAGCCTCTTAGACTTAGTTCGGACCTTTCTGTCGGACACGTCAGATCCCTTGTTGGCAAATTTCTGGAGCCATGACACCACTGGTTGCTATGGACCATCTGTTTACATCCTCTCGCGATCTCATAGCACGACGATCAGGTTGGAAATTCTTTGGATAATTACATAACCTGTGCAGAAAATGGAATATGCCATTAGAGGTCCTTACTACTGTAGAAGATATTGGACCTGAGCTACTTACACGGGGTCCATGGATCGCACTTGATCCCTAAATCCTGACAACACAGCTGCCTCATATAGTAAATTTTTAAAACTGCCAAAAACCCCCCCTGTAGTAGATTCCAGGACTTCACCCCTGAACAAACATGGGGAAGGGTATGGCTCTCCATATATGGTCCCACCCCCAGACTAAAAAAACTAAAACCTTGCATCATCAGCCTTGCCTTCTCTCCTCTTCCCTGTCAAGGAAATACCACTGGCCAGTCTAGTAGTAGTGAATGTAGGTAAGAATGGCCCCGGAAAAAATGGCCCCGCTAAAAATGGCCCCATATGACAAGTAGGTAAAAATGGCCCCAATGAAAAATTCGGTAATAGAAATGATATATTTTTTTTAATCTTCAAATATTTAAATACTGTATAAGCAAGAATTGAATCAAGAAATAAAAAATGACCCTCAATTATAAAATTCAAGAAAAAAAAATTGATAATAAATAAATAAATAAATGCTGTAAAATACCCTGTAGCAAAAAATTTAATTAATAAATCAATATAAAGAATATGCATATTTGAGAACTAAAATAAATTAGTTTTTGTTACAATACTGTAACTTACAAAACAACTTTAAAAATTAGTAACATTGCAGTGTTAAAAAAGATGCTGTTAAATTAGTATTAGAAACTTTTTAGTAGGAATACATATATACAGTACAGTAAAATGTACCATACCGTACTCGCGCGAATAAGCGCCCGGGCGCTTAAAATATTTTTTTGCACTTTTTGTGGGGCGCTTATTCAAACGGGGCGCTTATTCGAACAGGGCTCTTATAAAAACAGAGTGAAAATTGAGGGGGGCGCTTATGGAAATAGATGAAAATCGAGGGGTTCTTATGAGAACTTATTAAATCCAAGAGGCACATTTTGAATGAAAAACGATTAAGTAAGGACATCAGGAAACCGCAAATTACTAATGGTGCTGCGGCGGAAAAAATAATCGTCTAGAGAGCATGGCTTGTCATGACAAGAATGTTGTGAGTACAGTATTACATAACAGCAGAATAGCAGATGAAATTAGTGGTGGTGGTTAGCTTGTTCGCCATCGGTCGATTGAGAATAGCAGGACGGCATGATCATTGCCGGTTTTCTTGAAAACTTAGATGAGAATGTGTTAAAGGTGCAAATTGTCGGAAAAGGAGTAGTAGGACTAGGCTTAAATGAAAGAAGATGAAAGTTGGAAATATACTGTCTGTCCAGGGAGCTCTCATCATTCTGTCAAAGATAAATATCCTCACTTTGATATTGACTAAAAGGAGAATGTGATTCCACTCCACACCTCAAATCATGCCAACATCCACAGTCCCAGGATTTATTGGGTTATTGAGGGGGCGTTTATTCAAATTAGAAGGGGGCGCTTATTCAAACGGGGCGCTTAAGGAAATTTTCTCGTTATGAGGGGCACTTATTCGATAGGGGCGCTTATTCAAACGGGGCGCTTATGCGCGAGTACGGTAGTCAGCGAGTTCGTCAAACAAGGTATAAAAAAAGTATCGCCTTGGGTAGCATCTTTTTAAAGAAAATCATTAATTTCATTTAAAAAAACACAAGTTACTGATTGATTAAATAATTCTATTTTAAATAAGAAATGATTATGCACAGTAAAGGTAACATAGGACAACATAAATTTTTAAAAGATCATTATATTAGTGCTACTGAAACTGTTAATTATTTCAAGGTTTTATCTAAGTGCAAATCCAAGTTTGATTGCTTAATTAAAGAAATGCTTTGGATCAATGAACTGAAACCCACACTTAACAAACAAATTGATTCAGTCAAAGCCAAACTGTTTATATGTTATCTAGTTAATCTGCTAAGAAGGGCGAATTATTGCTTAGCTCCACCATAGAGAAAATAGAACAGCCCAGTGGTTCCACACACAGTAGGCCCTATTGATATGTAAATTAATTACTTACTTCCTGTCACTGCTTTGTATTTTTGTTTTTAGTTTTTTCTTGATCTTGAGAATGGTTCCATGATGGACCCGAAACATCGATTTTTCTTGTCATTAAATTTTGTTTTGAGATTATGTTCTTAATTGATTTAATAAATAAAAGCCACAAATAATAATTTGATTTACTAAATTTCATTATGTAAAAATAATTATGCTTTAACATAGATTAAAAATATGTTACGCCTTACTTATTTTTAATCTATGGTCTTTTTAATTAATTTTCTTTTTCTTATAGGAAATTCCGTATTGCAGAGTAAATTTATCAAAACCCATTAGGTTTACAGTAATATGAAAAAAAATTAGTTTATACAGAAATAGTATCTAAAATGATCTCAATTTCCAAAGTTAAAGCAAAATATCTAATCTAAACACACAATATTAGGCAGGATGTATTTGTTTGGAAAAGAACCCACTCTTTTGTGAAATTAAGAAGTTTATAGGTAAAAATTGTAAATTTAGAAATAAGTTTTATTTTTTCCTTTGAACTGAGATCAATATGTGATTTTTTTTTATTTCTTTAAAAGCATTTGTTTTTTAACAATTACAGCAGATGCCAATAATGTTCTGAGAGATAATCGAAAAACAATGGCCATTGAATAACATTTTTTGATAGTAGAAATAAAAGTTTTAAAAACGTTATTTCACTAACAAAGTAGAGGAATGACATACAGTATACAGTACTTCAACTACCAAAATATGCAATTCATAGGTAACCACAAACTTCACTTTTGTTAAATATCAAACGAATTAACTTTACATGTTATAAACAATGCAAATAAACAGTAGTTAAAGCATGTGGATAAATTGTGTGTTTGAATCACAAGTTCATGTATGGGACAAGGGATAGGCTTACTTTCTCGCAATAATAACTTAGCAATAAATTGTCTGCTTAGAGTTATTCAAAGAAGTATTGCTTTTAGTAAACTGAATAATTAGGAATACATTTATTTAAGCAACTAATTTAGTTGCATACTTGGTTTTTACTCATCACTAACTAAATCCAAGTGCCTACTACTGGCTTAGAATTATATATATAGTTATGTATGGCAATTATGCTAAGAATTAAAATGGCAT